AAAGAGAAGAGTCCCTTCACACAAGAGCGCCAGAAACCTAAGGAAAATGAAATATTACAGAAGCGCTGGAAAACAGAACATTGCCAGACTCAAGCTCTCTGCCCCGAGAAAACGCCCTTTAATATTGATGAAGGTAGACAAAGACATTTTCAAGTAAATAAAAATGGAGAGTTCTCCAGCATGCACTCAAAGAAATTCCGTGGGGTGTCTAGGCTGAAGGGCGGTGACCCTACACAGAAGGAGGGAAAACTCAAGGAGCATTCAGAGCGCGATAGCTTGTTCTTTCTGGCTAGAGCCAAAGACCCAGGCAGGAAAGGAAGGGGCGTCGCCTGGGACATCCGGAACCAAGACGGGACAGGGGCCCCAGCGCCAGGAGGTGGGCGAACCGACAGAGGGAGGCGGGAGGCGAGGGGCAAAGGCAGCCGAGGCTGAGGGAGGATGCCTGGGGTTCAGGCAGAGAGCAAAGGCCACAGGAGTCGGGGTTCAAGGAGTCCAAGGGAGCTGGAACGTCAGTGCAACGCTGGGGGTGAGCAGCGACTGCCGGAAACGAGGGCGCGCGTCGCAGAAGTAGCCCAAGTGACGGCCCGACCGGAGGCGGACCTAGCTCTGCTTCTCCGAAGTAGAGATCTTGGGGGCCTCCCTGCTGGAGCAGGGGTTAAAGACAGCACTCCGCAGCCCCTGCAGCACGAGTTCGAACCCCGACAAGGGAGTGACCCCGGGCGCAGCAGCCCTCTCCTGTCTCCCCGGCTCCCTCAGCAGGGGGTTTCAGTCCATCTGTCTGTTCTGTTCTGCTCCCCACTCGCGCTGGTGAGTCCTCTCATCACCACCACCGCCGCCCGCACCTCTGTCTACACCCCAGTTCTTCTATGCATAAAAAACTAAATGTGAAACAGGAGTAGAAGCCTCACTCCCCACCAAGCCCGCCTCTCCCCAGTCTTCCTCAGTTCCACGGGGGCTCGGCCGCCTTGGGGAAGCCGGAATGCGCGTGATCGTTGACTGCGCTTGGCACTGCCCAGAAAGCCGGTGGGCAGTTCCCGTGAGTGGCGTCCAGAGCGCATCCCTGGCTGAGCACCCTCCTTGCTCAGCCCAGGTCCAAACCTCCATTCGCTCTTGCCTACCACCCTGAGGGCGGAGGCCCTGCATGGGATTGTTAAGGGTCTGTACAGGCGCCTGAGTAAGTTCAGACTCTGGCTTGACCCTTCCCAGCGCAAGGCCCGCTTCCACACAGATTTCTTATTATCGGACAAGAACTCACGGTCCCATAAAGTCAGCACCTCAAATGCATTTCCCTAAGAGCCTCCGAATGCCTCTCCCTTCTCTAGCTTCCTTCATTGGAAGAACACAGACCCTCCCTGTGAAGCTGTCCGCAGCCCCTGCAGCACCAGTCCAGGGAGACCTCTCCTGTCTCCGCTGCTCCCCGGTCCATCTGCCTGTTCTGCTCCCTACCCTGTCTCTGGGGATCCTCTCACCCCACCCAGCCCCCCCCACACACACACTCTGGCTTACACCCCAGTTCTTGTATGCTTAAACAAAAAATTTAAATCTTTTTTTAAAAAAAGAATATCATATGTAACAACGCTAATAAATAAACTGGGTGCTGACCGGCCGTTTAGTGGTCAGCGGCCTCCGGTCACCAGCAGGCTGTCAGTACTTCTGGGCGCGTCACAGTTGCATGTGGATTTTCAAGTGCGTGGGCGCAGCTACCTGAGCCCGCCCCACCCAAGGAAGGACGGAGCAGAGCAGGGAGGGGAGGCTGAAAAACGCTGGGACAGGGCTCAGGAAGGGCCCGAGGAGAGGAGACTTGAGAGACGCGAGCAGAGTGTGAAGAAGCCGCCCGGCTCCTCGTCTTGGACTTGGCCCGGGACCTGGGGATGTGAAGGAGACACTTGAAGGAGACCTGGGTGAGCCCTGCGGGAGGCGGGCGGGGGCGCCTTCATCGGACTCGAATTTCCCTCCAGACTCCCCTGCCCCCCCATGGGTCTGCCCAGCAGGTGCCTCCTCTTGTGGAGGCTCTTGGGTGCTTCCTGGGCCGTTGTAACTGCGTCCTCTCTCTTCTCGCAGTTGCACTAAACGTACTAAAATTCTTTTTGCACTAAGGGTATGTTTTGTCTTTATGCAGGGTATGGTAGAAGCCATAGAGCAGACAGGTTTGGGGGCCTGGGGAGCCCCCTCATTCTGCACACTAACACACTAGCAAAAGTGTTTTAGTCTGAAGTTCACGTTAATCAGACACCCCATATTCAACCTGTTAGCCCTGACCACGCGTGCAAGAAGAGAGGCTCTGGCCCTGAGGGAGCCCCAAAACAGGACACCCCGAGAACTGTGCTAGGAGACCAGACCCACCAGGTCATCCCGCGGGGGGCTGGGGTGGAAGCATGTGTCCCCCAATCACCATTTAAAGACGAGAGAAGCTCACAGTGCAGTGAAACAATCACAGTGGGGAGAAACAGTGGAGACGCCTGACCTGACACCCCTGACCTGGCCTACTGGCCTGGCACGGCCTGAGCGCAGCTCCCTCCTGGCCTTAACCAGTGAGGGCACAGGTGCAAGTGGCCGCGCCTGGACCCTCCGGCTCCCTTTTGCTGCCCATCACAGACGCGGTGGGAGGTGAATCTGTTCCCGGGACGGGGGTATTTGAGCCTATTTCCCGCTGTCACAACCACCTCCAAGTACCCATAACAGAAGGTCACGGGGGCCTTCCCCGGGTCACTGCGTATTTTGTGGGGGTGGCGATAAACCCAGGTGGCTTTCGGTCACAGAAACCCGGGCCTGGGCCTCCCGAAAGGCGTGTCCAGGCCGCTCATGCCGTTTCTAGAGGCTGCGTTTTCTGGGGCAGAGCATGCCGGGGGGACCTCTTCCCCGTGGGGCGTCCTGGCCAGATACCACCGAGGGAAGACGGGGTTGCCAGAGGTGGAACTAACTGCCCCCACCACTCCACCGTCTCCCTGTAAAATTCTTAACGACCGGCAAATGTCCGCACACAGTTCCGCCCTAATCACAGCTCTGCAGAGGAGGGAGAAAGGGAACCATAAGGAATCGCTGGGCTAGCTGACCGCACGGCCCCTCAGCACACCCGAGTCGGTGCCAGAAGAGCGGCGAGGCCAGGCGGCGGAAGGACACCCGGGAACAGCTGGCGCACATCTGGCCAGACAGAAATGCGCGTCAAGCCCAGACGGGAGAGGCTCCACGGGCGGCGCGAGCTGGCCCTCAAGGGTGGCGTGGGGACTCAGCGCTCCTGAGAGGTGATGATGGGGCAGAGTCAGCAGGAGGCGGGGCGACAGGAGTGTGGGGTCACCTGCTGCCGACTTTCTCTTGATAACTGCACCATTCCCAGACATTTAGAATATTTAGATGGGCCCTCCCTGGTGGCACAAGAGGCGACAGTGCTCGCTGGCCGCAGCCTCAGTGCAGCTAGATCCCTGGCCCACTGTGGCCCCCAGGGCGCAGCAACCTCTCTGTCTGCCGCTGCTCCCCTCAGCGGTGTGTTTCAGTCTATCTCCCTGTTCTGCTCCCCACGCTGTCTCTGGGAAACCTCTCAAGCCCCTGCACCTCTGGCCTGCACCCAGGTCTGTCTGCATAAAAAAATAAATCTTTAAAAAAAATGAATTTAGATGTGGGCCCCCTGGTGGCGCAGGGTTAAAGCCTCAGCGCTATCAAGCTATTGGCAGCCACTGCAGCCTGGTTTGGTGCCCCCAGGGAGGGAGCCCCAGGGCACAGCAGACACCTCCAGTCTCCCCGCTGCTCCCCTCAGCAGGGGATTTCAGTCCATCGGCCTGTTCTGCTCCCCACGCTGTCTCTGGGGAATCCTCTCCCCCCATACACACCTCTGGCCTGCACCCCAAGTTCTTGCGTTCATGAGTACATAAAATGAATCTTTAAAAAGCTACTGTTCAGATGATTGCAGCCAGGCCGCCTCACGATGCCCCAGTCGCCAGGCGCGGGCGGAATGGGTAGCCCTTAGGGCAGCGCCCGAGCCGGGGCTGGGTCGGTGCACCTGCCCCAGACCCGTCTTCGGGACCGGCGGGCTCGGCCTTGTCACTGAGCGTCAGAAACACGCGGGCGGTGTTCCCAAATGCACGGCAAGGCAGGAGCCGAAAAGAGGGCCTTCCCTGGGCGGGGCTCCGGGTGCCCGGCGAGAAGGCCACGGGAGGCTGGCCAGTCCCGCTCAGGCGCTTCCCGCGACGCCACGTGGCCGGGGGCGCC